TCGTTCCAATTCACATAGCATCATCGTAGCGGTTAGGGGGAAGCGACACCCGAGTGACTTTCCCACTAAAGAGTTTCCAAACCCAATTACCTTTGCCTTCTTTTATTTCAATTAACAAACCTGTAAACCAAAACTTAGTTGCTAGATAATGATTTCAACAACTGAAGTAGCGGTAGACGGACCGACCCGAGTCGATATCTAAATACTTGCCCTATACTGCACCTGGCTAGAGTTTAAATACATGGGCTCTAGTTTCGTGTGAGTCAAGTTTTTGGCGCCGTTGCCGAGGACAACGGTTTGTTATCTTGAAAAAGTTGTTGGTTGTTAATCTAGCTTTTAATTTTCAGTTTTGCAAGTTTGTGTTCTTTGCTTGTGCTAGACTTGGTGTTTTCTGATTGTGTGTGGGTGGTGCATGACCCTGAGCAACCTGACACCCTTGCTACCACTGGATGAGGACATAAACCGAACTCTTCGACTCCTAGCAAGGGTGAGAGAGCTAGCCGAGGCAAGGAGAAGGAGTGAAAGAGGGGGGGGGGACAACAATTGAGTCCCGGTGTTAGTGAAGAAGGAGTTGAAGAAGTCGAAGTTGAATCCGTCGTTGAAGAGGAAATGGCGGGGAACCAAAGGGAAGATGGAGGCGCTCAAGCCTGGCAGATGAATGAGGCGGCAGAGGAAGAAGGAGCCTCGAGGACGATGGGGTACTCTATGGCTCCAAGGCCGGCGGATATCCAATCGTCGATCCTACATCCTCCAGTGGCGCCAAACAATTTCGAGATCAAGCCGGCTCTGGTGAGTATGATACAAAGCAATGCTTTATTCCACGGCCTCGAGAGCGAGTCACCAAGAGAGCACGTGTAGAGATTCTTGGAGCTCGCGGGTAGCTTGGAAATTAATGGTGTATCGGCTGAAGCTTTGCAACTAAGGCTTTTCCCATACTCGCTCTCGGGGAAAGCACTTAGGTGGCTAAACAACCGGCCACCTCGGTCTATCACCTCATGGGATGACCTCCTCAACAAGTTTATGGCTCGTTATTGCCCGCCTTCGAAGACGGCGGAGTGGAGAAAGAAGATTACACATTTCGAGCAAGAAGAGGACGAGACCTTGAGGGATGCTTGGGAGAGGTACTCCGATTACTTTCTTCAGTACCCTTAGCATGGGTTTGAAGAAAAGTTCCGGATTGAAACCTTCTACGGAGGCCTAATGCAAGAAGATAAGATCCTCATGGACTCCTTGTGTCAGGGGAAGTTGATGAATATGGCTCCGCCCCAAATAATCGAGATACTTTAAGATATGGCCCTTAGGGGGTATGATTGGGGGTTAACTAGAAGTGGAGGGAGAAGCAATGATAGGGGAGTGAGAAGCGTGGAGCGAGTGCTCCGCTTGAGGCGAAGTTGGAGAAGTTGCTTGAGGTTATGCTTGAAGATAAAAGGCAAGGAAAACGGGCGGTAATGTCGTGCGACTGGTGTTCGAGTACTAACCACGAGATGCGGAGTGCCAAGCAATGAAGGAGGCAACCACTCCGGAGGAACAAGTCAACTTCGTGGCAAATGCTAGGGTAACCAACCCGTATAACAATACTTATAATCCCGGATGGAGGAACCACCCAAACTTTGCTTGGTCATCACCGGCTAATCCGAGGCCCCCTTTCCAAAGCCACACGGGGAACTTCCAACCTCGGCCAAACTTCATCCAATAAAGGCCCCAACTCCAATGCTCAAAATTTCAACAACCATTACCAATCACAAGGTACTCTAGGGTTTCAACAACATCAACCCGACAAGCTATCCAAGCTTGAAGACCTAGTGAACACCTTTGTTAGTACGAGTAGCCAAAAGTTTGAGAAGATAGAGCAATTCATGGATGTGGCGACTACCAAGTATACCTCGGTTGAGACGGGTCTTCGAAGCCATCAAGCGAGCCTTCAAAGTTTGGAGGTGCAAATTGGCAATCTTGCCGGCATCATCACCGAGAGACCCAAGGGAGCTTTACCTTCCCAAACCGTGACGAACCCCAAGGATCTAGCCGGTTTCTAAGCCACCTTCCAAGGGAGACTCAATCGAGTTGGTTTTCCTTCCGCTTTCTAAGCCACCTAAACTAGGTTAAGTTAGGGCAACCCTCAATGTTGAGTTAATCAAGTCGATTAATCGTGATTAAGCCGTCCGACCTTAGAGTTGAGTGATGGAGTAAGTCAATTACCGATTGTGTAAACCGAAAGGGTCGAGTGACATGGCCTTTCATCCTTACCTCTGTTTAGCAATTGAGATTGTGGTCTCCGACCACATATGCATCCCTCTGGGGTTCGCGATTATCGTGCTCATAGCAATCGTTCCAATTCACATAGCATGGTAGCGGTTAGGGGGACGCGACGCCCGAGTGACTTTCCCACAAAAGAGTTTCCAAAGCCAATCACCTTTGCTTTCTTTTATTTCAATTAACAAACCTTTAAACCAAAACTTAGTTGCTAGATAATGATTTCAACAACTGCAGTAGCGGTAGACGAACCGGCCCGGGTCGATATCTAAATACTTGCCCTATACTGCACTCGGCTAGAGTATAAAAACATGGGCTCTAGTTGGGGTTTCATTGTGGTGTAGTTTCGTGCGAGTTAGCACCATAGAGACATTCAAAAGGAGACTTGTTCCTTAAGACTGGTGTAGATTGACAAACATAGCATGGACTTCCTAAGACCTCAAAAACATATTCACATTACAAATAATGTGATCACTATCACCTGTATCAATCACCCAACCAGCAGACAAGGCATCATTTGAGGTAGTGGTGAGACAAGTGCTATATGAAATGGTGTGACGAGGTCCATTGGTACGAGTTACAACAGAATTTGACCGAGGGGTGTGAGGAGGCTGCTGCTGAAGAAGACTGCACAACTTATGGATCTCGTCAGCTGAAAACCAAATAGACTGGCCATCCTGACTGTTTCTATTCTCAGAAACAGGACTGTAGGACTCTAAGAACTTCCTCCTGAGGAAACCACTTCATCTGTACCACTAGTATCAATAGAGCCAACAAAACTCCTTCCACCTACTTCATTTTTCCTCTTGTTTTTTAGCTTAAAACAATCCTCAATCAGATGATTGTCCTTACAATAGCGACAAAAAAGTTCTTGAGGCTTCTTGTCTTCTCTACCAGCATCCTTTCTCTAACTAGACTACCCAGACAGAGCTGCAAGAGCAATGGATTCAGTTGTCGCCTTAGTCTTGCCAGTGTTCATTTGTCTCTCAAGCTACACAACAACTCTGTAAACTGTGTCCATATCACGCAAGGGATCAAGCATAAGCATCTGGGTCTTGACTTGCTGGTAGTTTTCATTCAAGCCCAGCAAGAAACGAATCACTCTTCCCCTGTCCTGATACTTAATCACAGTCTCATAGGTCTTTGAAGCACACTCACAAACAGGAATTGGTTCATAAAGCTGTTGTTCATCCCACAGAAGTTTTAAATCAGTATGATACTGGCGAACAATTTTGTTTTCCTAGTTAGTGAGATCAACGTTTTATTGCAAATTGGCAATTCGAACAAAAACACCTTGGCTGAATTTAGATTTTAAGTAACTCCAAGCATCAGCAGCAGATATGATGTTCCTCAGACTAGGCACGATGTCCTCAGAAACAGAATTACGAATCCAACAAAGAATGGTGTCATTACACCTATCCCAAGTGTTATGAGAAAGATTGGTTTCAACAGGTACCTGAACTGTGCTGTCGATGAAACCCCACTTGTTTTTTGTTATGAGGGCAACCTCCATTTATTCGCTCCAGAGAAGGTAATTGTTGTCGTTCAACTTGAAGCTGATGACGGGAAGAAAGGAATTATCACTGGCAGCGAGATACAGAGGGTTGGAATATGGGTCTTCGTAACGAGATGCCTGAGTCGTTGTAGAGGCGTTGGACACTCTAGAGAAGGAGAAGCTTGATCACCCATCGTAATGGGAGAAAACGTATTTCAAGAACCCAGAAGAAGAGAAGCAGAAGAAATGGGAAGAAGAAGGCGAGGTGAGCAAAAACCTAGTTGCACAGGCAACCAAGCTCTGATACCATGAGAAAATCTGAAACCCTAGCAATGAATTAGGGTATTGAAAGGAAGAAAATAGAAGATGGTCGCGTTAAGGAATTTGCCAATTGGCTTGATTCCATTTTCTGAAAGGGTTATATACATATGTTCTACTGCTGAATTACCACTGCAAAACAAGAAAGGTAAAGTAAACTACTGTTACTAACGGTAACTGATCTATCCAATAACAAAACGTCAAGTGGCTTGCTATCTCTTATTATCTGGACTAATGAACGACGTCGTTCCCTCTTGTAGAGTCCACTACTTAGACGAAGCGACGCCGGATTGCTGCCGCCTATCTTCTTCTTCGTCTCAGGTGAAAGAGCCTGAGACGACTCTGACCTTCGAGCTCTTCATCAATGGCTGCACACAGCATCAATCCTTCACAATTTTGGGGGAGCCCTGCACTGTGATATTTCCCCTGTACTTCCTTTCCCTTCGCACTGTTACTCTCTTCAGAAACGTGTGAAAACGCCTCCAGGTTCCCACTTTCCATTCCTATTTTCTCTTCTCCTTTTCCTTTATTCTAGAACAGAGGGTTAGCCATGAATTGTGATTACATATCACTAACACCAATGACCATAAGCACTTGCAATAAAACCTGATGATAAAGCAGAACTCAACCTATCAAATTAATCTCTATTGCACTTGTTTCTGTTTCCACCTTGTGAATCACGCCCAAACCCATTCCTTATTAGACCGAATCAAATACCCATTTGAATCAATCCTGTTCCCAGCTTCCCTTACTTTTCGCCCAATCCCAGATAGATTCACAAGACCAGACCAGACCAGACTATGTCCGCCTACCTTCTCAAACTTCCAATTCTAGATGCTCAACACTATAATCCCATTCATCAACAAGTGTAAGAATGTTGTTATCATATGTAGACGAACGAGATGAGGCAACAAAATGAAATGGTCAAATCCACAGATAACATGCAAAACAACATTTCTTATATATTATAGATATATAGATATATAGTTCAGCATCTGTATGTAAAATTACAAGACAACACTACCATAGATGAGTCCGTTTTTCTCTTCTTTTCTTTTTCCTACAGCATCCGAGTCTCTCTCTAAAGATTTAGCTATATAACATTAGCCAACATGCCAACCTAACCAAGTGACCCCCTATGTCCATAAGGGTAAACCTTGTTACATTCTGCAATTGCTCTGCTGCAGAAACAGTTCCCTCCCTGGAGAAAAGTTACATCAAGCTATGTCGCCCGAATCTTAAAATGATGTGAGCGTATGACAGACCACAATCATGAGCCGGCCAGCTAGATGCCGAGCCACTTCCTCTACTTATATCCTTCATGAATCATGAACAAACCAGGAGCCACAGAACCCCAAATGGCGAAAAAGGATCATTGGGAACCGTAAGCAGGTGATACTACACAATCACATTCACATTATCAACAGAAAAGCAAACCCTAAAAGCCCTACCCAGGAGAAGAAAAAACCAGAGCGAGAAGACTGCCACAGTTCCATTGTCACCTTTTTTGGCTGCTGCTGCAAAGTAAAGTTATAGTCTTTTTCCTTTTATTAACAGATAGAACCCACAAACTTCTTAATCTCATCCATCACAGTATGGAAGTGAGCATTATTTGGCAACAAATAGAACCCTATCGTCGCCTTCTCAAGATACAAATCCTTCACTTGTTGCCCAGCCTCCTTCAGCCCTTCAACATAAGCCATTTGCCAATCTTGCACAAGATCCAAACCAGCAACAACAACAAGACTCTTTGGGAACTTTACTCCTACTAGACTAGCAGCTTTTGGACCAAATGGATTACAAGCTGGATGATCCCTATCAGCACCATCAGGAAGAAATGCCCTCCAATACCAATCCCTATCCTGCACTGAAACAAAATACTTCCCATCCAATCTCTTCTCTGATTCAGTTCTCAATTCCCCACCAAACATTGGATTCAGCAATATATTCCCCAACACTTCAATTCCCGATTCCGATTCAGCAGCTTTCAAAGCAACATGGTGAGCAATATTCCCACCAGAGCTATCTCCAGCCAAAAAGATGTGAACTTTCGAGTCCTTACTCTCGAGCCATGTCCTCGATTTGACCCAGTTGAGCACCGTCCAGCCATCATCATAAGCGCAAGGATACCGATGCTCAGGGGCACGTCTGTAATTTACTGAGACCACCACGGCTTTGCACAGACCAACTAATCTTCGACACAATGTGTCATAGATAGCACTGTTGGCAGAAGAGTGTGCAAAGCTTCCACCATGGAAGAAGACAATCACAGGGACAGTATGGGAGGATTCGGACTTCACAGGCTTCTCGAGATCAGCAACATTTGGCGGGTCGTCAGTATCAGAAGGCCGGTAAATTCGGCAGAGGAGATTTGTGGCTCGATCGACAATAACATCGAATGAGAACACACGGTCAACAGGGTTCGCATTGGCGGCGACCTTCCGGTCGAGGAACTCGGCCAAATGACGGTTGAATGTTCCATCCGGTCGCCGGAGAAGGTTGTATGCTAACTTGAAGTTGGATATTAGGACCCATGTGTTCAAAGGGACCACCATCTGCACAAAGAAAAGCAGAAAGGGTTGGCCAAACAATTTCCAAATGTTCATCCCTAACTGGTAAAATTTGTCCGTAATGGACAAGGATACCCCCTTTCCCTTTACCAAATCTCTTATTAGGTAAAAAGGAAACTACGGAGATGAATGGAGCAGCTAATTTCACTCATTATCTCCCAGTCAACAATAATTCTAACTCGAGACAAAAGAAATCAACTCCAGAAAAACCATTATCTCGCACTTCTCCAATGGAGAATCAAATAAAATTCTCCTCGCCGCAAACTTGCTAGAAAACCCAGAAAGTTCAAAGACCCATCTCCAAAATAAGTCCATAGCCATAAACAACACCAGCTAAACTAAATGAACCAGTCTGATCAAAACCATACCCCATCTCAAAAACTCAAAAATTTTATCACAATGAAGCATAAGAAGAAGGGTACCTTGCTTTCATTTATGCTAACTTCGTTACTCCGAGCCATGTTTGCCACTCAGTGCACAACGCTTTCCTGCCGGGAGAAGCAGAATACGAAAGGGGACAAGAGATCGCAATATCCAGGCTTACATGCTCCGAACCCAAGATAAGCTCAAAATTACACAAATCGGAAAACAGAGGCTCGCCGATCGTTTATCAGGGGTCAAAAGATCACTGCATGAGTTAGTGATCAGAGCTCGGAAAGCTGGAGAAAACGAAAAGGGTAGGCCCAAATAAGCCCCGATTTGGTGACTAATCGGTGGGATTAGAGAGATTCGTCAAAGAGAAATGGAAGGTATTTGGTAAATCTGACTTCTAAGGAGAAGGGGGACAAGAAAACCTTTTGCGGAAATGTCCCAGAAGAAGAACAAATTAGAGGGAGGGGGGGCGCGGGCGAAGGATAAGGACGGTGGTGCAGTTTAATTCTGGATGAGCAAAGGGATCTAAATTGCGCAGAGGGGTGAGGTGGCGCAAGAGAGAGCCACAGAAGACAGAACTCAGAGAGGACAAAGTGTGCGGCCGAAAGATAACTGTTTCGTGGGTTCCACTGATGCGAAAATAAAGAATAAACAAAAAGGATTTTAAATTTTTGTGCCAGAAAAGGTCAAACGTGCAAACCAAGCGGCTTACAAAGGTTAAATATTATTCGGCACTTGGTTTGTTTTCCTTTGAACATAAACAAATTGGGAGATTAGAGTACCAGCTAAGGGAGCTAGCTATTGACCGGATAATACAAAGAAGGAGCCAGATGTGGCTTTTGTGTTTGACCCATTCACATGACATACTGGCATCAGATCAGAAGAACGAGAAAATAGTATTCATGTACGGGTCGCTGCATACGGGGACGGTAATGCAACTTTTGGTATTATAAGATAGGTTACCATAGTAATATCTTACAAGAAGTTGTATTTGGTATTATAAGATAGGTTACCATCGTAATATCTTACAAAAAGTTGTATCGGAAATTTCAAAGATAGAGTATGTTATGTTGAAATTGTTGTTCAGCTGTTTAATATTGTTAAATACTGTCCCGTACAGCCTTGTAGGTGTGCCAGAATGTCATCTGGCACAGCCGCACAAGGCCTCCAAATTAGAGGGACCTCTGGGATCTTCATTATGTATAGGACTAATTGCTATTATCATGGAGTATTGGATTTTAATTATGAGTTTGAAATAATAGAAAATTAATACATTGGTCTTTGATTACGTGTTTAAAACAATAATAAAGTTAAGTCCGAACGTCAAAAGAACGAATGGATCATATACGAGGAACTTGTTTTCTAGTTATACTTGTTTTCGAATCATATAAGAGAGTTCATTTTTTGTCGTTGCATGTCTCATATACATTTAACACAATAAAAACATAAGCCAACAATAGTGAAAAAAGACCAAAGAAGTAAATGATGAATAGTTTACAACATACTTAATTTTAGGCTTAATATTTTCGTATGGCCTGAACTTTGACCAAAATAAACATCATGGCCAATCTTTTCGATCTATAACATCATGGCCCGAACTATACACCAAAATAAACAATTTGGCCAAACCCGATGTTTGACCGTTAACTTGGACGGTCAAACGCGTTGACTAACGGTCAACGCACCACGTCACTGCCAAGTAAGAAGATCTGATAAATATTTAATTTTTTCGTTTTTTATTTTTGGTTTAACTAAGGTATTAGATGATTTTATTAATTTATAATACTTTAAAATTAGGGAATGTGTGGAAATTGTTAATTATTTTAAATATTTTATGCTGACTTGGCAGTGACATGGCGCGTTGACTAACGGTCAACGCGTTTGACCGTCCAAGTTAACGGACAAAAGTCGGATCTGGCCAAATTGTTTATTTTGGTGTATAGTTCGGGCCAGGATGTTATAGATCGAAAAGATTGGCCAGGATGTCTATTTTGGTCAAAGTTCAGGCCATACGAAAATATTAACCCTTAATTTTATACAAAAAAATTATCAGTTTCTCCTATTTAATATTCTTTTCTCTACTATTCGATTCTTCTATATTTTTCTCTTCGAATCGATTAAGTTTTCATAACCTGATAAGGTTTTCACTCTTTGTATTAAGGTAAGTCAAAATTAATTGATTATTTGTTAATTTATCTACTCTTTGATTATTCTATATTCTTCTCGTCGACTCAATTAAGTTCTAATCAGTGATTCAAGCTAAATTATTATTTTTCAATTTAGTTACTATTTGGATTATTTTACTCATTCTCTCAACTAATAAATTTTTTTATTTTATTTTCTATTTCAATCATTTTCACTACTTATTTGAAATAATATTAAATGAATATTTTTTTTAGTAATATTGTAATAATTTTTATGTATAGATTGATATTTTATTTACATTTTATTAAATTGTTTTAAAAATTTTGGGTAACATTTTTTTATATAATATGGTCTCTGTAACCGTAATCTCAAGAACGACCCTGATACCGCTTACCAGTTTAACCTCCAGTAAGAGATTTTTCTGATCGATCACGGGTATGACACGATTGTCAACTGTACCTTTTTTTTCAAAACCTGTATGGCATATATTTTAATATAAATTAAATTAGCATCATGGATTACATGATCCTTAGATGCACTCATCTACACCAATTTTGAAGGTGGTCTAGCTATCCATAACTCAGATATATTCCATTGGCATTCATAGTGTGTCAATACATTAGTCACTTGATTTCCTATCATAGGCACAAAAGCCCAGTGCACCACACTATCCCTTTCTTCTCTTTTCCTTGGGAGAATCAAGTCGTAGAGTACTCCAATTTCAGTTCTCCATATTTCCTCCTTATTGAGCTTGGCAATCAAAATCTCACAATCGTTTTCCACAATTAGGGGTCGGGATCCTCTATGCAAAACTTGTCCAACACCCATCAGAAGTGCCCTTGCCTCCACCTCTTCTGGTTTAAAAACATCCAATTCTCTTCTAGCGATCTCATTATAGAAACATCCATTTAAGTCCCTTATGAGCACTTGCATTTCGATTCTTTCATCTCCTATAACTCCGACAACATAATTCATTTTATAAAACTATATAGGTGGTCTCTTTCACTACCTTAATGACTCAATTCTCACATACAATCCCCTCCTCTCCATCCCCTACACTTCCAAGTAATCTTGAACCAACATACTACTATCGGTATTATTTCATCCTCATCAAGCTTCCTGTTATTGAACGCATGATTGTTTCTTTCCTTCCATAGGAACTAGAGAATTGCACTAAACATTTGGTTTTTTTCTTTAGGAAACTCTTGAAACATCTTGCATATCCATTCTTCACACGACATATTGACTCGTCTCGAATACCACAACAATTTCCCGGCTAAGGTCCAAGTATAAACCTTACTCGGGTGCAATACAGGATAAGTATGTTTAAATATCAACACGGGCCGGTCCGTCTACCCCTACTTCAGCCATTTGAATCATTATCTAGCAATGAGGTTTTGGATGAAAAGTTTGCTAAATAAAGTAAAACAAGACAAAGGTGAATGGTTTTGAAAGCTCTTTTGTGAAAGGATCACTCGGGTGTCGCTTCCCCCTAACTACTACCATGGTATGTGAACCAAAATTATTGCTATGGGCAAGGTGATCGCTAACCGCTAGGAGACGCAATTATGGTCGTAGACCATGCTCATGATTGCTAAACCGAGGCATGCATTATAGGCTGTCACTAGGCCCTCTCGGTTTAGAGAATCAATGGTTGACTTACTCCCACACTCAACCCAAGGGTTGGTTGGCTTAATTGCGCTTAACCAAATTGCTTAATCTAATATTGAGGTTTGCCCTAAATTAACCTAGTTAGAAGACTTGAAAAACCCTAGAGATACCAACTCGATTGAGACACCCTTGGAAGGGGGGTTTCCCTCTCTAGACTAGGTTAAGTGGCCAATTAGACTGCTAAGCATAAACATGCACAATCCTTAGGTTGCTAAGCATAGACATGCACAAACCTAAGGATGCAAAGCACAAACATGCACAATCAAGATGAATAATACCTCAAACATTTGGATTAAACAATACCCTATGACAATCATTCAATTCACATAAAAGAAAACTACATGGTAGAGTTAGGGTTTCACAACACCCAAGTGAAAAGAATTCTACTCCATGCTAGAGATGCGAGAAAACACAAGGAGAAGGGGTAGAAACCATATTGGAGGAGGCTTCCAATCTTCTTGGCCCTTGTGTTGAACTTTCCTTGGAGGAAATCTTCCCAAAATCCACCTTGGAGCATAACCCTAGCTTCCTTCTTCCTTGGTTCGTGTTTCTCTCTCAAGAAATCAGAAGAAGGCTTTCTCACTCAAATGGGCTCTCCCCTCTCTCTTTCTTTCAGTTCATCTTTTAAATCAGAGGCGAGCTTAGTTCACGGTCGTGAACTGTGAAACACGTCCGTGAACTGCAGATGGACGTCAAAACGCACCGCTTTGTTCACTTTAGTTCACAGTCAACAGCTTCAGTTCACGGTCTTAGTGACCGTGAACTCACCTTGCGTCGGTAACTTGCATTTGGGCTCTGGATGCCTTGAGGTTCACGGTCAATGGCTCTTCTTCACGGTCGTGCAAGACCGTGAACTTTCTGGATAGCCGTGAACTGGCCCTTTTTCACCTCTTCTCCCGATTTTCGATAATTTTCGTCCAACTTTCGACTCCGAGGCTGGTTTCACCTGTTAAATCTCAAAACACACTAAAACACGAGAAACCTAGCGTAAAACCAACCTTTTAGGAGCGAAGTTGCCACAAACGACTAAGGAGAACGGGGGCAAAACATGTACAATTAGGCCCGAATCACTCCCCCACACTTAGACGTTTGCTTGTCCCCAAGAAAACCATTTCACACTAGGTAATATTTCAACCTACACAAATACATTGGGGACAACTCAAAGGGCACAAAGTGGGAGTTCTCAATGGCTATTGACAATCAATACATGGACCGTTGCAAGCAATACCGACATCCATCACAAATGACATTTGAAGGCACCAAAAACGGGCAAACGATAAGTTCTCACCTTGTTCATGGATCAATGCAAGTCTCAAGTAAGACAACTTATCAACCACAACCAACCATGCATGGAATTCAAGTCCGAGGAACAAATGGAAGGGCAACAAAGGTCCTTCTCTTCAAGTCCGACTAAAACTCTTCTCTTCAACCCAAGGCCACTAGCATCGGCCAAAAACATTGTCTCTCCCTTCCAAACTATCACCCATCGTGAACTACATCAAAACACTCTTCCTCGGTCAACTCTTGCTTGCACATTAAGGTTTGGTAGTGAAGGAGTTCTAAAACAATGTGGGGGTTTCAATGGCTTGGGTGCCAAGAAACGTCTCCTA